TGGGTGTTACAAAGTAACTAATTCTGGATGGCCACACTGGACAAATGCTTGCCAAGATCAACAGTTTGTAAGGGTGACAATGGCTGATTGAACTATGCTGCAATATAGATCAGAACAAATGTGTCCCCAAGAGTTTCAACAAGGACTGTTACAGAACTCCAGGCACATGTCTTGAGCTAGACTTCTATTTATCCCACAACACCGTTATGAATGTTCCATGTTGTGAATGGCTTACCTTGGGTATCATATGGCTATGTAGTGTTCAGTGATGAGACCAGGTTTTGCTTTCATTGGTGTCTGCATGTACAGTATAGACATGGGTGTGGCATCTTCCAATGTGTATAAAATTCTCATGATTTTTGTTTTAGTTTAACATTTTCATTAATTAATTATCTTTCTGAACTTTCAATGAACTAATGCCAGTATTTGTTCATCATTAGTTATTTGTAATTTGGTGGATATGTTTTTGGCATTAAGACTTCACTTTTACTAATAAAACGCATGGAATATACATAAATATGTTAATAAAATTATCATGAGTTATCTTTGGAAAAATACAATTTGAAAAGTACATTACTATCTTGAATTTTAAGCCAGTGGGGGTTAATTCCATTATTTTGGGTAGCATTTATTTCTGTTTTTTTTTTTTTTTTTTTTTTTTTATTTTCTGTTCACTTAAACAGATACAGAAGAAAAGCATTTCTGATTTTGTTTTTATCAGTGTTCCAACTAAATCTGCTGTTCCTCATCTAACTTCTTGTTAAATGTTGTTTCCATGTGGACATTGTGGAAGATTTCTTTACATTGTAAGATAGATTAATCTCTTACAAGTTGGATGTCATTAAAACATGTCATTGAATGATATTGAGCTTTGTCACATTTTGATTGTTGGCTGTTCATCATGAGGTGTGTCTAGGGCAATCTGGCATATTTTTGCATTTTTACTTTTGCAAATTTGTGTTAAGAATGCAGCAGATTGTGCAGTCCAAATGCTGCACTTTTTATTTTTCATTTTTATTTTTCATTTTTATTTTTCATTTTTATTTTTAATTCACCATTTGTCTCTCTTTCTAGTTTTGACAAATAGAGTGAATATAATTCGCAAAGATGGAATTACTTTCAAGATCTTAACCTTTACTCTCTGGTGACTTCCTTCTTCATTGATCTTAAGTTATATTGGCATCGTTTTATGATTCACAAAAAGACAATGGAAAACCTAAATTTGTTATTTATACTATTGTTCATCATATTGTTTTGCTGAAAAAAAAATAGTTATCAAGATGAAATCAATTCAATTTTGTCAGTGTATATAAAGATGTTTTGCCTGTCTTTAAATGTCTATGTTAAATAACTGTATCTGAGCTAATATGTATATATATATATATATATATATATATATATATATAAATATAAAAGTGAACATAGAAGTCAACACTTAGAGGCGACAGTCTGTTTCATGCTATATGCAATCGTCAGGCCACGTGTGCTGTTATTTTTCTCGGCTATTTATATATATACGGGTTAGTGGTGCATTGTGGGTATTCTATTATGGCGGTTATTTTTACCGGAAGTCGCTTTGTTCATTTATTTGGGTCAAGTTATATTGCTCGTTTTTATTTATTTTTTTATTTTATTTTATTTATTTATTTATTTATTTATTTTTTTTTTGTTTCTTATTTTATTTATTTATTTATTAACGTAGTAAAAATTTGTTTATATCACGTATTTAACAGTTTTGTTTTGGTTTGAGAATTTAATTAAAGCTATTTGTTCAATTTTGGGGTTGGTTGTTGTAGTTCATTCTAACTATTATTTTTTTTTGCGGGAACAGTTTTTTAATTTGGGATTGGTTTGCCTATTTATTTACTTGGATGAATTTAGGTCAATTTATTTTATATTTTCTCTTTTTTTGGTTTTCGGTTTTTTAACATAGTACTTATTTATTTATTTTATTTATTTATTTATTTTTTTTTTTTTTTTTTTTTTTTTTTTTTTTTAATTATTATTGTATTTGTTTTTATTTTATTTTTTCCGTTTTTCATTTTTTAGGTTACGTAGTAAAAATTTATTTTCATGCCTGCATTTTGAGATGAGCTTTCGGATCTTTTATTTAATAATTTATTTTGGTCGGGAAAGTAATGATAGCTATTTTTTCCTCCAAGCAAAGTTTGCAAGTTTTTGATTGGTTGTTGTAGGCTGATGACTTTTTTCCTTATCTTCCAAGATATTTTTGGTGTGATGTGCGTTTTTTTTTATTTTCCCAGATATACTTAGAAAGCATAGTACTGTTCGTGATATTTACTATTTGTGAACGATGTTTTGTGTGTATAATTTCTTTGCTTCCAGGGTCCTTCAGTTACTCCTATGTATACTTTTTCTTCGTTATCTGGTGATTTTATCGTGGCTTGGTATATTACGTTGTTTTGTAGACAATTTCCGTTTAAGGGACATTCGTTTCTTTATTCTGCAGTTGCACGTGGGTTTAATTTGTTCGTGTGGTTTGTTGATAATTTTCCTATTGTGCTTTTTTATTATTTGTGCCATGCTCTCGGTGCAGCTGTAGCTGATTTTTACTGTATTTTTTGAATATCTTGTTGTAAGGTGCTTGATTCTGGGAAGTGTTTGTGTAAGAGTTTAAATATGCGAACAGTACTTGCAAACTTGCAAACTTTGCTTGGAGGAAAAATAGCTATCATTACTTTCCCGACCAAAATAAATTATTAAATAAAAGATCCGAGCTCATCTCAAAATGCAGGCATGAAAATAAATTTTACTAATGTAACCTAAAAAATGAAAAACGGAAAAAATAAAATAAAAACAAATACAATAATAATTAAAAAAAAAAAAAAAAAATAAAAAAAAAAAAAAAATAAATAAATAAATAAAATAAATAAATAAGTACTATGTTGCTAAAAAACCGAAAACCAAAAAGAGAAAATATAAAAATAAATTGACCTAAATTCATCCAAGTAAATAAATAGGCAAACCAATCCCAAATTAAAAAACTGTTCCCGCCAAAAAAATAATAGTTAGAATGAACTACAACAACCAACCCCAAAATTGTACAAATAGCTTTAATTAAATTCTCAAACCAAAACAAAACTGTTAAATACGTGATATAAACAAATTTTTACTACGTTAATAAATAAATAAATAAAATAAGAAACAAAAAAAAATAAATAAATAAATAAATAAATAAAATAAAATAAAAAAATAAATAAAAACGAGCAATATAACTTGACCCAAATAAATGAACAAAGCGACTTCCGGTAAAAATAACCGCCATAATAGAATACCCACAATGCACCACTAACCCGTATATATATATAAATAGCCGAGAAAAATAACAGCACACGTGGCCTGACGATTGCATATAGCATGAAACAGACTGTCGCCTCTAAGTGTTGACTTCTATGTTCACTTTTATATTTTATATTTACACACGCTCTATCTCTGATATTGAGCACTTTATCCCATAAATATAGCACACCTTAAGACTATATTTCTTTATATATATATATATATATATATATATATATATATATATATGTGTGTGTGTGTGTGTGTTGTGTGTAGGTACAGTAAACCTATCAGAAGTATGTGTATAGGGAGAGGGATCAAATAATTAATGTTTATAAAATCTTGTTTTAAGTTGTTCCTTGCCAGACATTTTTGAAAGGTTAAATAGAAATCTCAAATGAGACATTACAATTCACATGATCCTGTCAAAAAGTTCAGATGTTTATCAGAGTGCATAAGCCTGTATCTGTTTTTATTTTTTTTTTTTGTTTTTTGTCTGTACATCTTTGGCATATCTGCTCACACTCACACCATTCTATTCAGTTGATGTTTTAGATGTATGGATGCACAAAGAAAATAAAAAACAAATGTTCTGAAAATAACAAACTGAAGTTTCTTTTCTTTTGCAACTTTTATTGTATTATATATTATATTTTTTATAATATTCGCTTTTATTATATATAATATATTGAATTCATATGAAAACAAAATAAAAATTTAACATCTTATTTATGTTTTTCTCAAATAGAATTACATTGGCTCAGATTTTGAATTCTATGGCTTATGTATATACCCAAGTAGAGTGCAAGTTTTTATGATCATTTTTTTTTTTTGTTTTTTTTTGTACAAAAATATAGGAGGTTGCACTATACACAGGTCATTTTTTTTCTGGAGGGGTTAAAATTCATGCCCCTAAAATTCAGGGATTGCACTATACATGAAGTTGGTTTATACAAAAGTATATATTGTAATTTTATATTATTAGAGTTTTGTTAAATATTTTGAAAAATCATTCCATATTGTTTGCTAGATGTAAATTCTAATCATAAAAAAAATGGATTTTTCAAATATTAAGCTTGTGACACTGACTACTATTTGAATGCATATAGAGATTTGTTGCTGAAATTTTTTGATTGACTTTGGAGTAGATTGGGTTACTTATCTGGTCTTTTGAACAGGAGTAGAGGTTTATCCCTTGTTCCCTTTTTAGTATCGGGTTTGCAGTTTCTTCTAAGGTCTTCTCATTCCCTTTCACTCTCAGTAGCCCCAGTGGCATTAATGCCTTTCTTAGTGAGAATTGATTTAAAAAAAAAAAAAAAATTTATGGCTTATGTGTTGATTGGATAAGATTTTGGGGTTGAGTTGGTATTTTAACTTGATTACCTCCATAGTTCTCTTGTGTTATTTCAGTAATTGGTATTGATTGTGTGATCTGTTTTTATGACTTATGAAACCCATTGCAGGTTATTTAAAGCCAGGAAATATTTTTTAGGATGTATGAATTTTAAAAAATTTGGGGTAGGGGTAATGATTTGTGGGAACAGGTCTTACTTATTAACCCATAATTGAGGGAGAAGAGATCAGCTCTCTGATTAACAATTCTGAGCTGTATCACCTACACATCCTAGCTTACAGCACCTGGTATTCCCAAATGATCATTCATCTAAGTATTAACCAGGCTCAACATTGCTTAACGTTGGTGATTGTATGGGAACTGATATTTCAACGTAGCTTTAAACTGGTCTTATGTATGTGATGAGACACTAAACTTACACTTGATGGTGATGGACTCATCACTACAAAGTGAATGTAGTTGTTTTAAGTAAATTATTAGGATTATCTCAAGTCTAGAATAGCAGACAGCTTACTGCAAGATCAGTAAGATAAGTCACACATTAATGGACAGAATAGGAAATATAATGCAAATATTTGCTGAGGCTGCTCATGAAAAAGGACAAAAAAAAAGAAAAAGAAAAAAGAAGCTTATTGAAATAAATTTCTAAGAATAATATGTTGAACTATTTAATTAGTTTAGTTCTTCATTTTACCAAACATTGATGTCATATCAATTGAGGATTAACAGTTTTCTGATGGAATAACTTCTCATAATTGGTTTTCATTATCAGTAATCTCTCTGATTACTTTGAATAATCAGAAATGATTGTCAGTAAGCCTTGCAATGTTCCACCCCAAGTTAAATGTTAGGTTCTTGAAGAGAACTGAGGAAACTTGAGTCATTGATAAAACTTCTCTTATATATTCTGTAAAGAACACTGTTGATCTCCAAAGCCTTTAGAAGTCAAAATTGTAAAAGATCAAATTTGTTAATGTTTACGAAATTGCTTGGTATCCTTTTTATTGTTAACCTATTATTGAATAAACATTAAATGGCTCTGTATTTTTATCTTTGTCCTGAGCAAATGATTCTTACATTTTATGGCTTTTCTTTTTTTTTTTTATTATAAATTTGTGTGTGTGTTGTGTGTTTTTTTTTTTTGTTTTTTTTTTTTTGTAATTTGGCTTATATAGATTTTACTAACAATCTAGAAACTCATTCACTTTTCTTTCTCTTTAGTAAATATATCAGAACTGGTCACCTTTTGCTTAACTGATACTTTAAAAAGTAGTAATGCATAGATATTAGATATTTTACAAGTGTAGAAGAAATTGCTTATTATCAACATTCTAGCACAAGGTTTTTTTAGAAAATTATATCCTGTTCATAACATTAAAAGGAAAGACTATAAAAATTGGGAATTTTTCACATGAAAAATATTATTATTTACTGAACTTAGAATTTATCTTGTGTTTTGAACTGAAGATTGATTTTGATAACAAAAAAAAAAAAAAGATAATGGTTGGTTACGTTATATTATCTATGGTTCATATTTTATTCATTTCTTTGTTTGTTGTCAGTTGTAGCCATGTAAGTATTTGCATATTATCATTTTTCTTAGAATTTTTATAATCCATGTCATAAATAGTTTCTTTTTAATCTTCTGTTCTTACCACTTTATTATTTTGAAAATTCTTTCATTATCAGCAATCATTGAGAGATTTTTAGTTTTTATTTTGCTGACTGATATCCTGATCATTCTTTCTCAAACAGAATGTGTTTATATATCCCAAATAGTCTAATTCCTTGCTTGAATGTTTTTTCTTTCTCTCAGTATTATTATGATTTTTAATTAGAACAATAATCATGTTTATAGGTAGATCATTTGGAATGAATTCTGTGTGAAGAGTGAAGCACTTTACATTTGTTCTCAAAATTAAAACTTACTACATTTCGACTTGTAATCTTAAGATATAAATTGTTTTCCCTTTGCTTGTTAACTACATATATTCTTATGGAGGGACTGTTTATATAGTGGTTAAAATTAATGCATGTCCATATAGTAAAGAGAACTGATGGCTACAAGCATTGAGTGGACACTGAATATGAAAGTGAAAAGAACAAGACAAACAACCCACTGTTGATCAAAGGTTACTATTCAGCAGATGCATCAGGAAATAAGGATGATAAAAACGTGTCAAAAAGAATCATTGTCAAACAGAAAGGAAGAACTCTCTTTCATCAAATCAGGTGACTAGGCTATACGAGATAGCAAGGAGAAACTGTCATATGAACATGATTACAACATGTTAACAAATGATTTGTGAGGTTTCACTTCACGTCCCTCAGCTGGGTTATAAAATTGGAACTTTGCTTTCTGAAACCTTTTAATTTGAATGTCATCTTTATTTTTTATTTTTTATTTTTTAATCATTTTAACCCAAGCAAGGCAATAAAGCCACTAAGATGCAAGGGCGGTTACTGAGTGTTAGAGAATATGAGAGAAATATGCTATTAAGGAGAAAAGACAAAGAACAAGAATTAAGAAGACAGAAGATAATGGTTGACATTGCATTTAATTTTTTTTAAAGTTGACAGGGAAGCCAGAAAAGAGTTGCACAAGCAATAAAAGAAACTGTTAGCATAGAACTTATGATTACATTTTGCTATTTCGACTGTAAAATGATGAAACCTTTCCTCCAATGTGGTACTTCACTTAAATTCATAAGGTCTATCTCCATAGAGAAAAGTTCATTCGAACAATTATCATGGAAGTACTTTTAGAAAAGGCACAGGGAATCTACATTATGACAATGTGAAAGTGACTGATGTCAGGTCAGGACTAATAACATTGCAGATTCTTCTTTGGATTTTATCAAGAACCTCTAAATATATAGTAGAAACACCAGAGCAGGTGTTGCAGCAATATTCAAAGCAAGGGTGAATGGTAGATTTATATATATGTAAGATAGATTCTGGTGAAAAAAAAAATTGTCTAACTTGACACAGTGAACCAGCTTTCCTAGCTGCAGTTCATTCAATATACTCTTTCCGTTTCATATCAGCAGAAAACTTTAGTCTGAGAAGGCAAAATAAGTCACTTTTCTGGAGGTTAGCATCAGCCAGGCTGATGGAAAGCAAAAAGGGGTTTCTTGGACAAGGAGACAGTTTTATTTTAGAGGTGTTAAAATCAACAAGCCACTGCTTGCCTCAATTAACACATAGGTCATTTTTGAGATCAGCTGCCAATTTGACCTTATCAAACTGATCAGACTTTCTATTAAAACAGGATTAAATAGTTGTCATCAGTATAGATACTGAGCTGAGAATTGATGTCATCAGGAAGATCATTTATGAAAATTAGGAACAACTTAGACTTAAGGATAGAGCCCTGAGGAATATTTATTCTGTTACTCTCTGTAGAGAAAGGCAATATTTCCATGAGAAAGAAAAGTTAAACTTTTTCAAAACTGCTCATGTTTAACTTATACTCCCCATTTCTGATGTGGTCTCCAAGGTGACAGCAAAGTTAAACTACATAGATTCTGCCCAATTTATAAATATCTTGCATTGATTTGTTAACTTTTTGAATTTATCCTTTTCTCTGCAGTGTCTTTTAATTGCTTGCAGTTAGCCTTTTCTGCATCGTCTGCTTGAGAGGTCATGAAAAATTTGGGTTCTACTCTTGTCGTTTGCCTTGTATACAATAAGTAATTGAGTGACATTGGATTTGCATGTCACTCTTTATCCGTACCTATTTGATTGAGTTGATTTCTAATCTGATGCTCAATGTTATTAGGAGTGAAGAAAAGCTATAAAACATCTTCTCATGAAAAATATGATATAAAACATTTCCATATATATAGTTAGTGAATGTAGTATTCTTTGAGTCTGGTAATTGACCCAGACACCCTAGATTACCAATATTTGTACCTAGTTTAACTCCATAATGCTGTAATATTCTGTGTGAACGAAGGAATGTTTCCATAAAATACAGTAATTTCTGTGTTTCATTTAATTTGTTGTTCTCTTCTTTTTCTTATTTTGGATAGTACAGGATATTATCAAAGTTAAAGTAACTTTTAATATCTGCAACATTTTTTGGTAATTCTATTTTCAGATTTACTTTAACATATGTAATGAAAACAGATGAGAATAAAAAAGGGTTGACAAGTGATATATAGAAAACAGAAAAAGATGTGCTTGTTTTTTTTATGTTTCAATTCTGCAGTGCAAAATTTTATTTTCCTTGCTTCATGGCTTATGTTTGTTGTAGAATTTGTGAACATTTTACAAGATAATCTGCAATATGAATTTCGAAATTTTAGAATAAGTCAGTTGGAAAAATTAAATTACCTGACAAAAAATTGGAGGAAAATCCTGTGTATATATTTTTCTCTTGTTTTGATGCTTTGAAAGGAATTTTAACAGAAAATACCAGATGATGCCAATCCACTTCTGCTGACAAAAAAAAAAAAAAAAAAACTTGTTGCATGAATAAAGGCAGTTGAATTTAATTGAGAAATTGTCAATTTTGCTGTTTTTATTTTTTTATTTTATTTTATTATACTTTTTTTTTTTAATGATTTCAGTTTTACATATTGTTCTTTTTTGTTTGTATATTAGAATTTTGCTTGAAAATAAGACAAGTCATCCTAAATTAAAGATATTTTAATTTCTCTCAGCTTTAAAAATATCGAAAGATGGGTGGTTGGGGTTCTTTTGTTTTCTGCATCTCCCACAAGTTAGGTTCTTAACATTATGATATTATTGCTCTCCCCACCAATCTTAATTTGATATTACTGGAACAATGGAATATGAATGGTTTTGTGAAAAAAAAAATTCAAATTATCTTTTGGGATTTTTCTCTTTCTTGATAATTTAAGATCTTAATCAAATGCATGCAAAATAAAAGAGAAAGATTTAAGTTTGTAAAAAATAAAGTTTATCAAATCTAACATTATGGGAATTTATTTATCTAAAACAATTCAATTTACAGATGATAAAGTGACTGGACAGTGTCTCCATGTTTGGGCAAGTGTTAGATTCTTCCTAACTCGATTAATCAGTGTGTGAATATTTAATTGAACCAAATTAATGATGATTGCCAGTGTGAAGTGAAATTAAGATGATACAAATCAAATGGTTAATTTTCATCTCTGTCTTATTAATGGTAAGCCTTTGTAGGAAAAATTACTTATTTTATGGACTGTAGAGTAGTGAACTTTCACCATTCATGTCAGTTGTCTTCAATTACATGCCAATATGATTTGGATCTTGCAGTTGGAGATATACGGTAACTTTATCATGGATTTTGAATAAGAGATTGATACCCAGAAAGAAAACTTGTGTACATAGAGGAGAAATATTTTTTTCTTTTTAATGTTTTTAAAAGTTT